TATTTATAAACGCAATTAAGCGACCTATTAAAAAATATCACCGTGTTTTTGACATTTAACATTCTCAAAGTGTGCATTAAAAAACCGTGCGTTTTTCGCTTATAAACAATTTGAATAACATTTTCTATTTTTATGAGAAATAATAATTTGAAAATAATTTGAAATTTTAATTAATATTTCGTTTAACAATAATTTTTGTGACATTTCTGTAAATTAAAAAAAATTTATTACTTAGTACTTAGCGAGTACCTTCTCTTTAAAGGGCTCGTGAGTCGTTAATTTTCCACATTTTTCAATGCAATTCACAGGAAATCGTAGTTTACGTCGTAAACTTTATTTTGCGAAAAATTCAAGTCTTAATATTTATAAACAATTGCGCTACGATTTAAAAAAAAAATCTTATCTTGGCTCCTGTTGGTCGTAGAGGGTACTTTTTTATTTTAAAACTGTATTTTCGGTGAAGTAGCATAAATAACAACAATGTTATTCAAATTGTTCATAAGCGAAAAACGCACGGTTTTTTAATGCACAATTTGAGGTTGTTGATGTCAGAAGAACGGTGATATTTTTTAATAGTCGCTTAATTACGTCTTTACGATTACAAAGACGCTTTCAGAATCATGTTTGGTTGAAAATTAACGCCTATAAGAGGTCTAAAGTTCATAACTTTTGGAGCCTCCGTTATAAACAAATTGAATTGTGCGAAAACTATTGCACCTACAGCGCCCACTTTTAGCACACTTTTGAAGTATGACAAAACCCTCAATTTGTCATAGGTTTTATAAAATTTTAACAATAAATGCGATAGTTATAAACAAATTAAAAAATGGGCACTTTTCTTGTTTTCTTGCAATAACTTTTTTGTTTATTAACCGATTTTAATTTAACCAGTCTCATTTTGTAGATAACTTTATTCCCTACAAGCTGTTTGAGAGTCATTTTTCGCTAAAATTGATGGTTTTACCTGCAAAGTGAAAAAACTGTTTTCCCCACTTATTTGTTTAAATAGAAAAGTTAGCTAATAAAAGTTTTTGGCTCACGAACTGAGAGGTGTCTTGTATTATGTTCCTTTAGACAATTTTACAATAACCTCGCGGATAGGACTTTTTTCGAGTAAAAATTTAATTTGTTTGGTCTATTATCTACTTGCTAGCTTGCTAGAATGTAATACACAGATATTATGTGACAGGCTCGTTGTTAATTTTCCACCAGATGCGAATCCGTATCGGCAAAAAATGCCCGATTAAATTTAACAACCGTGAAATATGTTTGTGGCGATTTTACCACGGATATATTTTGCAATTATTACGAGACAGCGCAGCTGTGCCGTTTGTCTAAGATCCAAATGTTGCCCAATCTCGTACCCATGCAACAATGTTAAACATCGCAAAAATAGTCCTTATCTTCGGGTAACATGTCACACGACACGTACATATGCTGCGCACAATATTTTATTTTGTATGTATGTATTAAATTAATAAATAGTTCGTATTGTATGTATTAGACTTTGAACTTTTAATAGATGTATGCAACTTTTATCTAGAAAAAACTACGTTTGAAATATTGCCATCGAAACCTTGTCTGGATTCTAAATTGCGGTTAGTGTTTATTTTTACGTAGGACCTACTCCAAAAGTTGATGTCTTTATGGGTTTTGTATTAATTTAAAAGATTCGTACCTATGTATGTGGAAAAATGAACTTGTGTGGACTGTGGAGGATTTATTAAAAACGAATACAAAAGTCCACTCCGTGCAACTTTTTTTCCTATAGAATTTATTTAATGGATTTTTGCAGTCCATAGTGCTCCGAAATGGAACAGTGCCTTTTGCCGGCCACCGCAGAATTAGAGAATGTGTATTTTCCGACAGGGCCATTAATAATATTTCACGGACAGGGGTAACGTTCGTTTTCGGACGGCGATATTCGCGACGGCGCGGCGGGTCGCGCGATGCAAATTCGATCCGACAGGCCCGTTCTAGAAAAGACCGAGGATTTAGGGTCATTGGAATTTATGCTGTCTGATGCCCAGTCAGTTACAATAAAAAAATATACGGTACGAACGCGGTTACAATCGTATATTCAGTAGTAATATCCTTTTTTTTTTTGGAATTGCTTTATAAAGGGTCATTGGTCATAATTACAATTCTTTTATTAGTACAGTCATTGTATTGAAGCTGAAAATCAGCTGTAACCTTCGAATTCTTTGAAACTGCATGAATTTGCATGAATATTTAGAATAAGGCTCATCTTAGGTTCAAGTTCAAAAGCCCGATTGGCGCTATTTGTTTTTTAGGGGTAAAAACAACCTCTAAGTGAATAAAATTGAAAAATTTAAGTTAAAAGCATTTTATTGATAAAAATCTTGTTCAAGCACAAAGATTAAATAATGTTCCATGTTCTCGAACATGTTTTATGATATATTTGATCTTTTCGACCCTTTATTTAACCCTTAAAAACTACCCCTATACAAAAAATAACGATAAAAAATTACTTTTTAAAGATTTGGAATGATTAAATCGTGCAATTATTTAAAATAAAAGTTAGCTTATAGCTAATAAAAGAATTTTTCCCTTTCAACCCCTAAAAACCACCTCTGTATTGACAAAAATGATAAAAAATTACCTTTTAAAAGCTTGGAATGCTTTAACGGTGCAATTATTTAAAATAAAAATTCCCTCATTGCTTATGAAAGAATTTGTATCTCATAACACTTTTCAACCCTTATAAATCACCCCTGTGCTAAAAAAATGTTAAAAAATTTCGTTTTAAATCTTGGAATGCTATAATTGCGCAATAATTTAAAATAAAAATTCCCTTATACTGTTTATGAAAGAATATTTCATTTTTGCCATTTTTAACTCTTAAAAACCACCCTTTTACCAATATTAATGTAAAATATTTTTATTATAATCGATTTTTAAATAGAATCAATCATAAAAAAAATTGCTACACTGCATATAAATAATCAAACTAAATTTTTTTACTTATTTTATTTGTATAATATAATATATAATTTATAAAAATGAGAAAGCCTATTTTGCTCCGAAAAAATAACTCGGTTAATTTTGAAGCTATAGTATCCTACAAAAAAGCATTTTAAAGATAATTTTCAAGACCTGCAAAATCGTATGCATATAAAACCTTTTAAGTCCTTCATTTTTTAAAGGGAAAGGATCGAAGGGCTAGAGACAGGTCGTTTTTTCACTAAAATGAATACTTCAAGCAGCGATATCTTCTTTATTTTTTATGCTATAGGAATAAAAAAAAGCAAAATATTTGTTGAAAAAAAAGCTACATTTTGTTGTGTTGACTATCATTTATTACGTATCTTTCATAGTTTCAGAGTTATTATATAAATAAGGCAATTTTTTTTTAATAATGAAAAATACGTTTTCAACTTTTACCGTACATTATTAAAAAAATACGCATTCTAAACCTGTCTAACTTCAGGATCGTATGAAAAACACTAAAACAAAACTAATTGTAAAGGGTCTACGATTAATTTTAATTCTGATGGAAATGGTACAGCGTTTACTGCTCATTTTTTCTTAAAAAATATGAGCAACCCATCTGGTTTTGACGATAACTCCTTCAATTTTGCTCTAATAAACTTTTATAAGTAACTCATTTTGAAGATCTTTTTGAGTACTACAAAAAACTCCCGGAGTGTTATACACGTAAAATTAATCCTTTTTCCGTTATTTGACGTTGAATACATCGATACGAGTATTCCTCCTCCCAAAACAAGTCCCTTTCCACTAACCATATTTCGCTTTGTATAGGACCTACACTTTTTAAAAAACGATTTTCTTTGTTTATTTTTAAGCTACATTTTTGTTCATTACACTTTTTTAATAAAATGCGTAGTTTTTGAGTTATTCGCGAAAAAATACCCTGAAAAAGTGTTTTTTTTTTCAATCAAAATTCCAAGTTTTCAATCGCGAATAACTAAAAAACTATTGATTTCTCGAAAAAAATTTTCGAATATTATTTGCTCAAAATTTCATTCTCTATCGATTTCCATTTTTGAAAAAAATATCCACCCCCGAGAAGGGGTGTTAACCCCCAACAGGGTTGAAGCGTCAATCGGCGCTATGTGACTAATGTTCATTGACCTTTTCTCTAACCATCTGCCAAATTTCAAGTCGATCGGTTCGGTTTCAAAGAATTCGGAGGTGAAAAGTTTCAATGACTGTCCTATATAATGGTTTACGTGTCATAATACCCGTATTTGCACGAACTGTAAATTCGTTTTGTTTCCCCAAAGCGTAGTAGCGAAGAAAAGTAAACAATTGAAAGCTGATATAAAAAGAGTGAACTGTGTTTTGTAAACGAACCTAAAGATAAAAATAGCGCCAACCTATTCTTCCGAGAACCCTCGGATAGCTTTCCGAACGGTTTTTATGACAGACGTAACATCTTATGGTCGTTCTTAATGATCGATATATGGATTCCGCACAGCGAAGCCGCCTAACAGGTCCTGTACGACCGAGCGCGTGAAAAAAAAGTCAGTAACTAATGCAACGACACGGGAATTTATCAAAAGCTTCGACTTTTACGGGGCAATATATCGAGTTTATTTAAACAGGTGTAATTGGTGTTTGGAATTTAAATCAAAATTCAATTTACTACCGCGACAGGTGCATACCGATAGAGAATAATCACTGGACGATAAATGTATATAAACTTGTAAGTAGGTAGTCGAAGCTTAACAAATGTAATTGCTGTGGCTTGTGTAAACTAGACGTACTAACTTGAAATATGTGCGAGTCCTGTAAATATTCAAAAACGGTATCAGAGCTTGCCCAAATTAAATATTTTCGAAAGAGGGCTTGTAAAATTTTTAAGGTTAATCAATATTTTTCCCGAAATGTGGTCGGATCGTCGATGTTTCTTCCTTGAATCCTTTCCCATTTAAATTCAATCGTTTACTTTGTAGAGAAACGTGCGGGGAACCTATTTTTCAAAAAATAATCATTGACAAAATACCAAAACTCACCTCTAGGTATTCCAGGTGGATCGGAGGGAGCCAAGAAGCCGGCGTCCTCTGAGCTGGCATAACCCGCGGATCCGAAGGAGCTGCCCGAGTGCCGGAATTCGTGGGGCACCGCCGGAGGGGCGACCTTTTTAGCGGTAGCCGCGGGCTTGGGTGGCCGCGACATGCCGCCTACTGCAAAAAAAAAAAATTAAATGAACACTACAGTCTACAATAACATATACAGGCATATAAACCGTAGTCAAAAATTAGTTAAATATATTTGTTATCCGTAAATGAAAAATGCAATTAATACATACAGAGCAGGGTGCAAAGATTTAAATCAAGTTGATTTAAATCAAGATTTAAATCGTGATTTAAATCAGTTGATTTTTTTATTTTAATCATGGGAATAAATTTAAAAAAATCAACTTTTTTAAACGCTTTTATTAAATCGAAAAATAACTGTAAAAGTTACAAAACTATAAAATATGATTCATTCAACACATA